AGGAGAAGCAGCTTTGCAACTATTGTAAAATTCTTTAATATAATTGGTCTTTACCTTAGTTTCTTACAAGACCTAAACGTATAAACCAATCATATTAAAGACTTACAATAATTGCAAAGCTGCTTTTTCTGCTGAATGTAGCCAATAACTATATATGACATTAAATAGCAATGCTAATACAAATACAAAAACTAACATGATTTTCATTGATGTCCGACCACTGGTCGCATCATGTCGCTATCCTTATTTTAAACGAATGAGAATGAATGTGATCAACCATGAATGCACAAAAGGTGCGGGCGAACTCTTGATAGGACAAATGATTGTGCGGTGCGATGTCGACCGGTTCATTGCCACTGCTGGCAACGAATATAGCGGGATCGTGAGTCACGGTCCCCGCTAATAAAACTGTACTCGAGACACGAGGGACGGTCACGTGAAAATAGCAGGCTTACCGAGAATCCGATCTTCTTCCATCGTCACCATCGAGCAAATCGACCACCACGAGCGTGCACCTCATAAAGAGGGGCGAACTTTGCGGGCCCGGGCTCGGATCTGGAGAACGGATATAAAAGTAAAAAGGGGTTTAGAGGCGAGAGAAGATGCCCAAGCGTGTCTGACCTTGCCCTGTAGCCATGGAATGCTAAAAATGCCGCCGCGTTCCCGCGGCCAGAAACGAAATGTGTAATTCCGTCCGTTGTATTCGTTGCATCGTTCTCCCTTTCACTGCTTTCTCACGCGCGCAGAATGTAATCTCCGGAGTAGATTAAATGGCTAAATTCGGGGATTTCATGCGTCAACGCGCGTCAGAAAACATCCAAGGATCGATGAAACGCGACGCGCGTTTCCGCATATACTACCTCCGTGGAGACGTATTTCTTTGAAGAACGATGACGAAACGTTTCTCGGAGAAAATAGAAGTAGCTACGATACGTGTATAGGGAAGCGAATAATATCGTTATGTATATATGATCGAGTTTATTCATCTAAGAATTAAGACACTTAAGCACCTCGGAGCGCGCAAGTATTCCAAATATGTAAATATCCGGAAATGCCGGGCGCGTAAGAGGATGAGAGGAAGAGAAAGGAAATTAGTATAAAAGCGAGAAAAAGAGACGCAGAGGGGGAAAAACCGGATGTAATTCACTCACAAATCGAGCGTATTATGCTACATACAGGGTGTACTAAAATTTGTATACTTTTTACTAGAAATTCTTTCTTTAGGGAAAAATCTCTTAGAATTGCATTTATTTTCACACAATTTTAACTTGCGCGGTATGTTTCTTAATAAATTATATCTTTCAAAAAACTGAAAATATCGCGTGTAGCCATCCTGGCGTATCAGGGCGTGAAGATACCTGCTTTAATGTGCAATTCTCATTTATCATCGTGGTAACTTCGAGGAACTGAATGGTCGACGATGCAAGCGGGAAATACTGGCAGGGTAGGAGGCTGTATCTACCGGGTGTTGTTGGTTCCCAATGCATATACATATCTACTACGTGAGGGACCCAGTCCTTGCTCCCTCCCCCCCCTCTCTCTCTCTCTCTCTCGCTCATTCTCTCGCTCATTCTCTTTCTCTCTCTGTTCGCGACATGGCAGTCGCGTCGTCAGAAGGAACGTGACGTGATTTACATACTTATGTATAGGTAACGCACCGCGCGGCACAGGCCCCTCTCGGTCAACATCCTGCTTCCTGTTCTCTCTGTATTGCACGAGCTCGGCCCCGTGCGCGTAAGTCGTGTGTATGCACGCGTACCCCGTTATACGCGTCCAATAAACAATGTGTGTGCATATCGGGTACGCAGACACGTCGATAACAGGCGGAGCCATCTGTAACGGTGATTAATCGGGATTAGATGAACGACGAAGGATACTGACATGTATTCTATACGTTCGATATTATATCTACTTCTGTTAACATTTTCAGAATTCCGATATAATATGATAGAATCCTGATTTTTTCTCAAGAAAGTTTTAGATCTTTAATACATAAAATAAACCCTTAGAGCAAGAGATATCAACTTTGCCTTTTTCTTATATGATAATTAATAATATCTTTTTTATTTCGATCAGGATCGGTTTAAAGCGTAACACCTTTCTATGAAAGTCGATAAAAATCCGATGCTACATTTCAAAAAAATTTCTCTCTTTTAATGAAATTTTAACATATTATAATCCAACCTCATGAAAAATTTCCATCACATCTCTTTGAAATGTTTGTCGCTTCATTTATCGCATGGATATTCATGACGTGATTATTCGTAAACGAACATAAATGAATTTTACCGCAATCGTCGGCACACTCAAGGGCGTGCTCGCGTGATGCATACGCATTACAATATTAACGTGCCGATTTCATTGCAGGTGCAGCCAGTCGCTGAGCTATCGGAATTATCGAGACGCGGTTGTGACGGACGTCAAGTCGAATTGGCACCTGCAAATATCCGCAGTGGCACGCTTCGCCGGTCCGGCAGTTTGCGGTTTCATCAAAATATAGTAAGCCTGTTGCTATTTCCCGTCGATTTAACATTTAACGTTTAGAGCTTGTGATATAGTCGATATAAGTCGAGTTTGCTGAGAAAACTTTGCGAAAGAAATAAGTAGAGTTTAGAACATTTTTTAAACTTTTAACAATCGTCAAAGTTAAATTATTCATTGCATCTTCAGGATTCTCTATAGCTTTCTATTCATATTTTTTTATATTTCAATATATATTATAATTTTATAGTTTGAATAATTTTTATGATACGTTATGTGTGGAAAGAGAATGGAAAGAAACCCAAAGAATAAAGAGGGCATAAGTAATTATGAGATAAAATGCAATTCGACTTAGCGAAGGGTACGCGGAGAAATATATAAGGATGACGCACAAAGAGGGCACAAAATTGCAGCGGAATGCGACAGGGCTGCAGTGTGATGCGGCAACGAGGAAAGAGGAAGACAATAGTGGAGAGACGCTCACTTTCCACCCACATTCTCTAGAGCGGCGTAGTGGCATAGCAATCGCATAACGGTACATCTCTACTGACTGCCTCGTACCGTAATACCTCGTTTCCGCCGAACTTCGAGCTATAATCTAAACTACGGGCGCAGTCCATTACAAGAAAATGCCAGCTTTTCACAGTGCATGGCTTGGGCACATTTTGAAGAGCCAGAGTGTATCATGCAAATTAAAAAGAAAGCCTAAGAAAATATAAATATTCAAAAAGAAAGAATTATCTTTTTCGAGCGAATTTCTGAAAAGTGAAAGATCTAACACTTATTTATACAAATTTCCCGAATGCGGTGAACAATTCGCATTTTATTGCGAAAGCTGAAACTGCAGTTATTATAAATGAAGCAACAATTGCATAGATCACAATGAGAAGCATTAAAACGAGATATACATTGATCCGGGATTGACGCTTATATTGTAAGCAAAAATGAACATTTGTGTCACCATTATTTGCACACATGTTGGACGTCCTCATTCATTCCGCGGCTTCGCTGGTAGTCGAGCTTGCAGGCTTTCGAGAAGCTGCCTTCATTAAATTAAATTGTCACGCGACGTAATGCGCATTCCTACTCGTTATCGTAACGAGATCGAAGCGCCGTTGCAAACGAACACGCCAAGAATGAGCGGTATCGCATCCGCATTTCTGCAGAATTCATCGATAAACGTGAAACGCAAATTGCATTATATATGTATATGTCAAAACATACATTAACTATATTTTTGCACGATACTCATGGGATGCTCGAACAGGATTCGTTATTGAAGCCCTCGGCGACAGTTTGATGATATTCTATTTTAATGTGATCTCAAAGTAGAATGTGAAGAGATATCTATATATCTGTCAAGTGTGTAAATACTCTCATAAATCTTACGGTAAACATAGAATGGTTTACTTTGGTAGGGAACTCTGTCACCTTATTAATTCAGTTGTTAAGCTTTTCTGTCGATCTCGCAATAGAAAATCAGATCTCATCAGTCTCACTTACAGTAATACAAATATAATTGCAAAATAACGCAATTGTCTCAGGAATGAAATGAACACGGTAATCGTGAATACGGGCGTCGCTGCGCAACACACGTCGTTTGTACACACGTCAGATACGAGCAACGACGTGTCGTAATTGGCAATTAGCTCTAACAAAGTGCGACTTATGTTGATGTTAAAATGCACAGCGGAACGAGTACGATATTTACTGACGGTCGATAAAGCCGACAGTATAGCGGCATAGTAAAGAACGTGCTGCCAACGTACCGTTGTGGAGAACAGCAATACCTTTTCTACTTTTCAATAAAATTACCCTTCTCAAAACTTTCTTACGTATACATTGAATAAAAATGTTTTTCATATTGTGAACATTTTTTAAAAATCCACACACCGTTTACTCCGAGAAAATAGATTACTTGACTTATATTAAATTACAAGGAAAGATTAGAAAAATACATTTTGAAAAAAAAATTTCATAAAATAATTAAAAAATTAAATTTAAAGATTGAACGTACACTCAGAGAAAGAAGAAGCATTTTTTATAGTACATTGAGAAAAATGTGTTAAAGTTTAATAAATATTTATTTGAACAATATTAGCTGAATATTTACTAAAAATGTAAATATATGTATATTTATCTGGATACCAAAATCATTAATTTGAGACTTAACTATAATATTTTTATTTAGTTTTATTTGTTTATCATAAGTAAAACTTAAATTAGTACTATTCAAACAAATATTTATTAAAATTTATTACATTTTTTTCAGTGATAATTGTATAAATTACATATGTACAATATATAGTTGAATATTCTTTTATAATTATTGCAACGAAAGTTGAAGGGTTACGTTTGGAATGTATATTACTATGTATATTAATTCTACATATAAAATTTGTATAATTGTCATCTATACAGTTATTACTACTGTGTCTTTTTCTCTGAATGTAAAATTTTCTAAACGTTTTGTCTTTCGTCATTTCGGTATCGCGAGCTTTATTTCCGAGATCAACGAGATAATAGTCGCACCTCGTGGATATTAGAAGTCTGAAAGTCAACCAATAAAAAAAGATAGACCGACAATCTTGTGATTTTATTAATCACAGAACTGACGAAATGCCGCTAAACTCGGATCTGTACACAGCTGCAAAATACGAAGTTGGTAGTTGCTTGGGGTGATACACGATTTGCAACGTCCTCGTGTAGCTCTCCGCTCTCTCACGGTGCGACATGACGGCTCGCTCGCTCGCTTGCCCATTTTGCCTCAATGTATTAGCTACGTAAATGTCAAATTACGTAATTAGAATTGCATGTTACGCGCTACGTAGTGAGTAATTACGCCGTTACCGCCGCAACACTATTATTACGCCCGCGAGGAAGGTACTCGGTATACGCGTGATAACATCGCCGATCGCCGGGGGATCCCTGCCGCGCTGTGCCGTGCCGGTCGTTCGTCGCGATATGTAGGCCAATAATCATATCTCCGCCGTATGTAAGAACGCGAGCATGGTTTCCTTTTCCATCCGGAAAATCGCACCGTTAGATCCGCCGCAATCGTTAATCCTTGCGGAATCGTTAATGATGTTAACGACGTTAACATGCCGCAAATTCATTATTTTTTTAGATCGATGCAAATGTTGTGACTGATAAGAAGTACTTTCTTAAGGGGATCCTACAGCCGTTTGTATTACAGACTAATCATAATTTTTGTTTAACAGTTATTTTTTTCCTCTTTCACAGATTCGAAAATCTTTTTCCAGGATTGAAGTATACGCATTGATACGTGTCTGTGAGGTGAAGTTTATGCCGAGAAAAATTTTTCTTAAGGTTTCAATTTCGAAATTTTTCGTCGTTCTCAGAATAAATTCCACTTCACAGACATGTATTAATGCGTATATACTTTAATTCTGGAAAAAGATTTTCGAATCTGTAACAGAGGAAAAAAATAGTTGTTATACAAAAAAGACGACTTTAATTTTGGAAAATCTTTTTTGTTAGGCTTTCGACACAGATGTCTATACTAATACTAGATTGCTAACCTCTGTGATTTAAGCGTCAGAAAGTGTGTGCGGCAGGATATCCGGTTTCAACCATGTTCGACCGCAACAAAATGGCCGTCTGCTTGTCAGGCTGTAGCGGCCAACCTAAGCAATCTTAGGTTAGTGTGCTTGGCTAGCAGGCAAGCAGCAAAGATCTATTTAAAAATTCTCAGACGGAAATTAATTAAAATCAATTAACTATACCGAAAGTGAGTCATTGATTGTAGATTTCAGTAAAAATTTCAGTAATTTATTTCCATCAGAGTATCAAAAGTTCTTTTCAAGAGTAGACATTATTTCAAAAATCGATCGAGAATGTATATTTAATTTGACAATACATGATCAGCTTCTAAAATGGTTCTGTCTGTTGATAAATGTATGCATCACATGATTTATTTGTAGGAAAATACTTTAAATTTCACGATAAAATTATTACAGTTACAATTATAGTCATATTATAATTGAGGGGATGGACGGAATAAAGGCACAATTCTACTTCGGCCCTTTTTCTAGCAATTAGCTTTTTCATGTAATATTGATCATAATAGAAAAGTATTGTAACATGTAACTTCTTAAAGGCATTACATAAATTCATTCGATACTGTACTCATTTGTGTATAATAAAAAAGTAGCAAGTTATTTTAATTTTTATTAATATCAAGATTTTACAATTAGGCCTTTATTCCACCCATCCCCTTAATTACAATTACAGTTATTATTATACTCATTACTATTTTTATAATTCATTAACATTTTCTTGCGGATATATTTGCATTTACAATTATATGTCATACCGTAAATCTGCCAGTAAACACTGCAACGATTGTATCTTCTTTTCTTTTCTTGTAAATTTTTGTTTTAATGTTGAATAATTCTATTCATTCGCTTCTTTCTAGGACTCATTTCCTGATTTTTAAAATGATACTGGGAATTATTCATAATTTCCGTTTCTTTACCAATGTATCATTTTAATTGTATCGTCGATAGTACTTGTACTAGCTGTGTTTTCTGAAAATAGGCTGGAGACTGTCAAATTATTTTCGTTATCTTCTTTTTCTGAACTCTCGAACGTCACAGTTTGTGAATGTATGGCCAAAGCAAGTGCATTTTCAGATATAGGAGCAGTCGCTGGAGCAAGTGTACTTGCAATCACAGGAGCAATCACTGAAGCCTTTAAAAATATGAAAGGTACGACAAGATTTTTCAAACGAATACTGCTTGTACCTGGTCTGTCCATAAAATCATCAGTTGTAAAATGTGTGCTGCAAATTACATGATTTTTAGATGGCTTTAAATCTGTTTGTCCAATTGCCTCGATCCATTTTTTTAAATGGTCTTCTCGACTCAGAGGAAATCTGAAATATTTATTCTTTGCAGTTTAGACAGAACCTTCAAATAACATGAAGTGTCACGTTTACCAAATATATATCTTACCTGAACAAATGAAACCTTTTTTATTATTATTTTGGCAATTTTTCACACAGCAAGTGCTCGGCATTGTAATACTTATTTACTCGAGAATACGTTCTCGAGTAAATACTAACGCGTCGTATACCGGCAACGGCGGCAACGGAAACACACCGATAATGAAATCGCAATAATATTAGTAGAAATCACATCTATGCACTAATGCACATACTCGCCGCCATTTTGTTGCGGTCGAACATGGCTGAAACCGGAGATCCTGCCGCACACAGCACATTGGTGACTGTTAGCAATCTAGTATAGTATAGACATC